AAGATGAGCGCTTGTACGTCAACGACGGCCACAATGAGTTTTCCGACTTCGCTGTCATGGAAATCATCACCTACAAGAAGCAGCTTTCTAAGGAGAAGATTCAGGAGGTCATGGCATACTTGAAGTGGAAGTTGGAGAACGGCACCCCTTAGACGTCTCACTTGGCGGTGCACCATGAACTCCGGCACGTCGCAACTCGAGGTGCAAAAAGGCCAGCCAACTGAGCCGCTGCGCGTATGCAGAAAGCTGATGTTGCAATCCCAGAGAGCCCAATACCCCGTAATTAGGGAATATGCCTTAAATTACAGGGGCCTGAATATTATGATCTTAAGGTATACATTCCTTAATACTGGGCGCTCTGGGATCCAGGGGCCAAGGCCCCCCAATGCCCGCGCTGCCAGCTTCTGTGCAGCTACCAGACTCGAAGCTCCCAAGAGAACCCAGTACCCCCCTTAACAAAGGAATATATATACTTTAAGATCATAATATTCAGGCCCCTGTAATTTAAGGCATATTCCTTAATTAAAGGGTATTGGGTTCTCGGGGTCCCGAAACCTCTCCACTCCAGGCCTTGGACAGGCTCTCTTTGTTGGGCTTTGGGCCTCTGGTCTCCGTCTTAGAGAGAGCTCACAGAAACTGACGTCTGTGAGGGGCCTTTTCCAGGCAGCTTCTCGTCTTTTCTTCGAGTCCACGGTGGGTTTAGGGTTTAGGGTTTAGGGAGAGGAAGATTCCTTTAGCCTGCGAGAGAAGGGGTCTTTCATTTCCGCCGGCCATTTCTTCAAACCACGATCGATGGCAAGCCAAAGACGATGGGAACAGATGTAGATCATTTACGACGAGCAGGAGAGATCAGGGTTTGTTTGTGTGTCTGTTTGCTTGTTTGCGCCCGGCTGAAGGAAGCATGTCCGGATTGTACGAGGCACCTTGCAGTAGCCGCTGCATGCTGTTTTGGCCCCGAGGTTGTGGTAGCACCAGGCTTGACTCAGCTTTAGCAAAGTGAAAGATGGGCCGTGTCCGCACCAAGACCGTGAAGAAGGCGGCGCGTGTCATCGTGGAGAAGTACTACAGCAAGCTCACGTTGGACTTCCAAGTGAACAAGAAGATCACTGAGGAGGTGGCCACCGTCCCTTCCAAGCGCTTGCGCAACAAGATCGCGGGCTTCACCACGCACTTGATGAAGCGCATCCAGAAGGGCCCGGTCCGTGGCATTTCCCTGAAGTTGCAGGAGGAGGAGCGTGAAAGGCGCATGGAGTTCGTGCCTGACCAGTCCGAGGTGAACACGGAGTTCATCCAGGCAGGGCCCGGGTGAAGGGTGAAGTGGCTTATGATCGGCTTCTGCATGCTGGGCTGTCCTTGTACCTGTTTGCCCCTAAATCCTAAACCCAAAACCCTAAACCCCTAAACCCCTAAACCCGAATGCACTGCTCTTGGAAGTGCAGGTTGATCCTGACACCCGAGACATGCTCAAGGAGCTGGAGATGGATCGCCTGCCCAACATCACCACCTCCAACGTGACCCTCACCGGGGTCGCCATGGGCCCCGAACTCAGAGTCAGAGTAAATCCACGTTGCTAAGGGCTTCCGAAGGTTACGCAGATGCACAGCTGCACCCTAATCCCTAAACCCTAAACCCCTAAACCCCAAACCCCTAAACCCCCAAACACCCTAAACATGGCAGATGGCTTGAGGGCTTTAGGAGCTGATACTTTGGCGAATATCGGACTCTGAGGCCGCAGGTAGAAGAGCGGTGTCCGAAGCAGCTTGGGTCAAGGAGGTCTGCCACATGTCGCGAAAAAAGAGGGGGTCGATGGTTCCTGCCTGCATGTCATGAGCAGATTCATGGGGCGTGGGTTGTGGATTCTTGTGGATTCTGTTGTGAGTAGGTTCTTGAAGCCAGGAGATGTTGGGACTGGGGCAAATCCGTTCAGAGTGAGCCCATGGCTTTATTCCATGTTTGACATGTGCCGTTCAGCTTGAGTTGGCTGGTCGCTTCTGCGCCGCAGGGTAGTGGCACAAGCTAGCAAGTTGGCAGGTAGCAGGGAGACATGGGCCGTGTCCGCACCAAGACCGTGAAGAAGGCCGCGCGTGTCATCGTGGAGAAGTACTACAGCAAGCTCACGTTGGACTTCCAGGTGAACAAAAAGATCACTGAGGAGGTGGCCACCGTCCCTTCCAAGCGCTTGCGCAACAAGATCGCGGGCTTCACCACGCACTTGATGAAGCGCATCCAGAAGGGCCCGGTTCGGGGCATTTCCCTGAAGTTGCAGGAGGAGGAGCGTGAAAGGCGCATGGAGTTCGTGCCTGACCAGTCCGAGGTGAACACGGAGTTCATCCAGGCAGGGCCCGAATAAAAGTGGCTCATGATCAGGATCTCTCTTTTTTCTGACCGGACACCCTTCATGCCCGTTTTGAAAAACCCTGAACCCTTACGACGATGGTGAAAGAAGCAGGTTGACCAAGACACCCGCGACATGCTCAAGGACTGCACTTGCTCGGCATTCCTGCGGTTCAGGGGTTTAGGGCTTAGGGTTCAGCCTTGATCTCTAAGGGAAGCTGTGAGGTATAAAGCCTGTCTATTCCTTAACTGGAGTCTCTGCGTCCATCCTTCGCGCGTTGCCGGATTTCGGGCTTTCTCCGAAGTCCCAGAAAGCCTGGCAAAGGGGTGCCTTTTTGGAGTCTCTTTTCACTTTTTTGGGGTATATTATATTATATACTTATAATAAGGAACCTCCCAAAATAGTACAGGTAATTACTGAGGCCCCTAGAGTAGCCATTATTTCTACAAGGGCTATCATTTTCGGAGGAGCTTGACATGGACCGTCTGCCGAACATCACCACCTCCAACATGACCCTGGTGGGAACCATGAGCCGGAGCCCCAGGGGCCGGTAATTTCCCCCCGCAACCTGCGGAGGGCTCCCTTGATGGCTTAAGGTTTGCGTAAGGGTTTAAAACTAATTACATAACAAACCATATGGCCAGGTACCCCAAAACAAGGGTAGGGTACTGTTGATGATAGAAATCCTACATTACCTTAATCGGAATTATGGTATACTCCTTATTCTGGGTTATGCAGGATTTATACCATCAACCATATCTTCGTTTTTTTGCACTGTGTTATGTTATATCATACAGCATTGTGCAATATTGCACTGTGTCGTGTTATATCATACAATTTTGTACACTATTGTACGGTGTTATGTCCTATCATACAATGTTGTACTGTGTTATGTTATAGCAGAAGGGTTTAGGGTTTAGGGTATCGTGCAATATTGTACTTTCTCTGATATCATGTGACACTACTAGATTATATCACTGCTGTTCGACACCCGCCTGCCAGGGAGACACTGAGAGGAAGCGCGCACCAGAGCTGCACTGCCACGAGCCGGGCGATGCCATTTTGGAGTCAAAGGAAGCCTTCAGCAGAATCGAGGAGTTTAGGGCTCAGGGTGTAGGGTTTAGAGGTTTAGGGGTTTAGGGTTTGGGGTTTCGGGTTGAATTGGGGTTTATGGGTTTAGGGTTTCGGGTTAATTGCAGAGTTCAGTTTATTCTCATTGCAGGGTGTGGTGCTCAGGCAGTCGCGCACGCTCTCATCAACTGCTGCATCTACCAGCCGTGGCTAAGGTGTCCTCATGCAAGGATCCAACTTGAGGGCGCTTATCTTAAGGTCGACAGTTGTCTGGATATCTCATCCACGAGCTCTTGGTTCAAATTCGGCCTCGGATGTGCAGCGCAGCTAGAACCATCTCAGTCAGTGTGGTTGTATGTTCCAGAGCTCAGCCCCCGCGACCCTCCCTGAACCCAAAGAGAAGCACAGAAAAATCCTCCCCCTGGAACCCCGAAGCCTGAAATTTCCCTAAGCCCTGCGCGGCCACGCCTTCAAGCTCCAAGTATCGTTCTTTCCGGGCTGCCTCGCCGGGCAAATGGAGCTTGCATGGCCTGCACTCAGAGCCAGGCCTAAAAGGGGTAGGGTTTAGGGTTTAGGGGATTCAGGGCGCTGGAGGGTTCTGGGCCCGCGGAAGTGGCGCTTTGGGCTTTGGAGCCCTGGCACCGTGCCGAAGCTCCTGTCAGTGTCGGTCTGCGTCTTCTTTTGGCCCTGTCCATTGAGCAGTATTCTGTATGACGAAAATAGGAAGAGATAGCAATGATAAGAAATACAGGAAGAAGACTGGTAAGGAGGTCATGATAGTGACAGGAAGAAGACTAGTCATGAGAAGAAGAAGAAGACGAGTAGTGAGAAGAAGAAGAAGAGGAGTAATTAATCCCTAAACCCTAAACCCGAAGTCCTAAACCCTAAACCCTAAACCCTAAACCCGAAGCCCTAAACCCTAAACCCTAAACCCTGGAGAAGAGGGATCCCGCCCTTCAAAAGTTCTGCGCCTCTCTCACGCCCGCGCGTGCGCGCTTTATTCGGGGGCTTGGCCTCCAGGAGAGGCTCCAAGGAAAGCCCGCTTTAAGCAAGGGGGTTTAGGGCTTGGGGCTCTTAGGGTTTAGGGCTCGTAGGGTTTAGGGTTTAGGGTGATAGGCCCTAAACATAAGTACGGTTGATGATATAAAAGAATCCTGCGTTTTACCTTAAGGACCTTAGAAACCTATGGGAGTGATGGTCTATTTTTCTATTCTGGGTACTGCAGGTTTTATAGATCACAAACCGTAGGATCCCGAATTCAGATTTGTGGTAGATTCCTTGATTAAGGGGTCTAGGAGTCTCTCAGAAGCCTTGAGGCATCTGAACTTCTTCGATCCCGTCTTTTCTAGCGTACTCTGGGGGCCCGGAGGGCTGTGGTGCTCGCTAGTGCCCGAGACGATGTGTCGCCTGCGCAGGGATAGAAGTCTTAGTGAGCAGAGCGGCGCAGCCCCAGGTCACATGAAGGCTTTTTCGTTTGCTGGAGCTTTCCCAAACTCTAGGCCTTACCACACCTTTTCATCTTGGAGCAGGTGTGTCGCTGTCCCGTGTGCTCGCGCCAGCTGCTAGGCAAGGGGGGAGTGATGCAGCGGTGCCTGGGTTCTAAAGGGGTCAGGGCTTAGGGTTTAGGGTTTAGGGTTCAGGGCGAGCTGCTCAGGAGCCAGTGTGCGAGCTTACATGGCTTTATTCTTTTCACTCGATCCGGTGCAGAGTGTTCGATGGCACAGGTTCACTGCTGCAGAAGCCAGCATCGACCCTCATGTAGCAAGGGATCCAACGGGAAGCTCACCAGGATTGGACCACAGCTCTGCAGGCCCCCGAAAAGGTCCGAACCTTAAACCCCAAAGCCTGAGCCCCCAAAACCCCTAAAGCCTAAACCCCCAAAACCCCTAAACCCTAAAAACCCCCTAAACCCCCTTAAACCCTAAAACCCGCTTAAACCCTCTTACACCCTCTTAAACCCCGACACCCCCCCAAAGCCGAAAGCGACGCGTTTTTGCAGCTCACCCGGCCTGGCGGGCTGGAGCCGTGAGCCTGGCGGTGCGGGAGCCAGGGCCCTTTGATTCCCAGCATTCCCAGCATGGGTTTAGGGTTTAGGGTTTAGGGTTTAGGGGCATGTTTTCAGGGGTTAGTTAGGGCTTAGGGTTTGGTTGAGGGTTTAGGCTTCCAGTCTCGGGACTAGAGTTCTTTTAAGTCATAATGAAGCCCAGCCCCATTCCCGAATCGCTAAGAGTATGCACTAAACTCCTAAGACCCTCCAGCAGGGTTTAAGCTTTTGGGTGTTTTCGGTCTAGGAGTTGGGTAGTTCTCTAAATTAGGGCCCCTTTGTAGGTCCCCAATATAGTACGGCACCCTTATAAATTATAAAGGACCCTAAAAGGGACCTTATTTTTGAGAACTACCCATTTGTGGTGTCGGCGGCCTGACATCACCCTCAAATCCTGAATCCTCAGTACGCACAGGCCAAATCCAAAATCCTAACACCGAAACCCTAAACCTGAAACCCGCTGTTATGGACAACGTCTCCGGTGCTTGGGAGCAGAGAGGGCGTCTTGTAGCGATTTGTGTTTAAAAGAGAGTTTGGTGTTTCAGGCTTTCTGCACCAGTTAGCTTCTGAGGTTAGATGGAGCTTCGTGTTTAGGGCCTCGCGGATGAATCATGAAGAAGGATCCTACTACTCTGTAAACCACCCTAAACCCTAAACCCTAAGAGCCCTAAAACGTAAGAGCCCTAAGCCCTGAACCCTAAGAGCCCTAAATCCTCAACCCTCTGAGCCCCAAGCCCTAAACCCTCAGAGCCCTAAATCCTCAACCCTCTGAGCCCCAAGCCCTAAACCCTAAGAGCCCTTAAGCCTCAACCCCTCTGAGCCCTAAGCCCTAAACCCTAAACCCTAAACCCTAAACCCTAAACTCCTAAACCCTGAGCCCTAAACCCTAAGAGCCCTAAAGCCTCAACCCCTCAGAGCCCTAAACCCAAGAGCTGCTGCATGTTTGGAGCCCACCTGCGCAGAAGCACGAAGCGCAAAAAAGACGTCGAGGACGCAGGAGTCACCCAGAGAGCCCAAGTTACACCTTAATATAAGGAATATATGCCTTAAACTATAGGGGCCTCAACGTTATGATTTGAGGTATATTCCGTAATTAAGAGGTATTGGGTTCTCTGGCAAAGCTGTCGTGATAGTGGGCTTCAGGTTGCCGAAGAAGACGACCAAAGAACTTCCCCCCGCGTTCAGGCGAGAAGGAGGTTCACGGTTCAGGGTTTAGGGTTGAGATGATCTTCAGATCTTTCAGTCTGAAACCTGCCCACTGAGAAGCAACTGGAAGACAACAATTGTTC